AGAGGGATTAGGGGTGGTTGAACTCAGAAGCCCTCCATGACTCTTTCCCACTCACCCAGCCGGAAAGTGCTGGACCAGGGATTTATACATAGGTTGTCTGACTCTCACATTACTTCCTTTAACTGTTGTTGACATCTCCCATATATCTTCTATTCTTTTTATTCATGTGCAAACATACATATATAGATATCTATACATATAACTTGTACAAAGTTGGGTCCATAATGCACATATTTTGGTAACCTACTTTTTTTAACCTTGTATTTTGGAATAATTTTAGGTATACAGAAAAGTTGCAAAGATACTATTGACAACGTGTCTCCTTCACTCAGCTTCTCCTGATGTTAACATCTTACATAATCATGATATATTTGTCAAAACTAAGAAATTAACATTGGTATAATATTATTAATTGATCAGTCAGCCAGTGAAAACCCTAGGGATCACAACAGTCCAGCCCAAAACTGTCTTAGTCATCTAGTACTGCTATAACAGAAATACCACAAATGGATGACTTTAACGGAGAGAAATTTATTTCCTCACAGTAAAATAGGCTAGAAATCTAAATTCAGAGCACCAGTTATAAGGGAAGGTTTTCTCTCTCTTTCGGTTCTGGAGGAAGGTCCTTGGCATCAATGTTCCCTTGGTCTAAGGAGCTTCTCCACGCAGGAACCTCAGGTCCAAAGGACACACTCTGCTCCTGGTGCTGCTATCTTGGTGGTATGAGTCTCCATGTCTCCGCTGTCTTCTCTCTTTTATATCTCAAGAGAGATGGGTTTAAGACACTATTTAATCTTGTAGATCTCATCAATACAACTGCCACTAATCCATCTCATTAACATCATAGTGATAGGATTTACAACACATAGGGAAATCACATCAGATGACAAAATGGTAGACAATCATACAATACTGGGAATCATGACCTATCCACGTTGACAGATATTTTTAGGGGACACAATTCAATCCATGACAACAACCTATCATGGGGATAGCATAGGACCAGGCAGCATTTCATTCCATTGTGCCTGGGGCATCATGAGTCGGAGGCCAACTCAGTGGCACCTAGCAACAACCACCACCACCTACTTTTAAAACATAAAATGTATTAAGTATTTCTATAAATTCTTATATAGTCTTCAGAAGCATGATTTTAATAGCAAACTTCGGATGTTCCATAATTTATCAAGTTATTCCTCTATTGTTGGTCATTTTGGTTTTTCTTTATAAACCATTTTCTGATGAATATCCAAGTGTCTAAATCTTTGCATAGATCCTTGATTATTCCCTTAGATAGAATGCTCAGAAATAAACCTGAGGCTGAAGATACCATTTTTAAGGAGCTTGATCCTTATTGCCGAATTGCTCCACAAAAATCAATGTTAATTTACAGGTTTTCTGCTTCTATATATAGATGTAGTTATTGACAAAGCCAAAACATATTTGACAAAAATTGTCCCAAAACATGCTATGGGTTTTTCATGCAGCATAGTGTAGTGGAAATAAACCAGGCTTGGATTTAGGCCAAGCAAGTTTGAAACCCTACACTGCCATTTCTACAGGTCATTTCTGTCTTTGAGCTTCATCCTCATAATCTGTAAAATCAGGTAGTATATTATATTGTAACATATATTAATACATTATACTTTATAGTATTGTAAAGATTAAATGTACTAAAATATATGTAAACATACCTTATAATGTCTGGCACATTAAAAAAAAAAAAAACAGTTGCCGTCAAGTCGATTCTAATTCATAGCATAGGTATCCAATAAATGTTGGTTTCTTTTCTTCCTTTCTATTTCCCTCTAAAATCCCTCAGGTCCATAATTTCTATATAGCTGAATAATAAATATGAAAACTGTACCTTTTATATTTTCTATCTTATGGCTGTTCAGTGACTCTTTAAGAGGAGGTTGAGGTCTTAGGAAAGAAAGCATTAGACATTGTTACTAATAAAAGGCTTCAGTAGGAGACAAGTATTGTGTATCCATCAGGAACTCTTTATATGGTGTCAGTCCTAAAATTTTTAATTGGAAATTGTATTTGTGATTTGAAGCCCCAGGCCTCCTAATCAAGAAACTTTGACTCAATTTGGCTTAATACTTGTTGTTCATTATGTCACATAACAAGAAACACAGAGAGGTAGGACAGCTCGAGGCTCAATATAATCATTAGCTCAATGATGGCATCAGGGAACAAGAGTCTTTCCATCTCTTTGTCATACTTATTACGTCAGCTTGACTATAAGATGGGATTCTTCGTGCAATAAGAGGCTAGAGCAGATCCAGGCATCACACTGAGACACAGTGAGGTAAGAGGCAGAAGAGGGTATTCTGTTTTATCTGCTTGAAGCCCCTTAAAAGACCTTCCCTCACTTCTCATTTGCCAGAAGTTGGTTTATATGTCGTCTTCGAAACCAAGCAATAGTAAGAGGAGTAGGAAGACCTTGGATGGTCTAAGACCCAACAGGATTAATCCCTGGACACGGGCACTTCCGAGTCACATGGAGGAAGGATGAGCAAACAAATCCTGTACTGGCTCTTCTAGCAAAGAAGCAGGGAAGAACAGGTGTTGGGTAGGCCATCAACAGCATCTGTTAGAGATGTATAATTGTAGTGCTCCAGTACAACCAGTCTTTTTAAGGACCTACTCTGTGACCCAAACTGTGAAAGACCGCAATAAAGAAAACAGGAATATCATCATTAGTGATAATAACAATGGACATTTATTCAAGTTCTTTAGAGTTTCAAAACAGCATCTATATTGCTACAAGATAGTGTGGTTCTAAGAATTGGCATCCCCATCTAAGAGATGAGGGAAACAAGACACAGGATGATGAAATGACTTCCTTTGAGCCAAGCAGCTAGTTAGTTACAAGATCTGAATTCAAACCCAGGCCTCATAGTTGCAAATCTCATGTTGCTTCTATGAACCCAAGCGTCCTTTGTAAAAATCAAAGTCAGTTAAAAGCTGTAAAAGTGCCTGCTAGAGTGTGAAATCAGGAGATAAAGAACGTGTGTGCTATAGGAGTTGGATACAAGGAGGACCTGTTCGTATATCCATCTGGACGTACTGTTACTCACCCCCTTTTTATGTAAATAATCATCTCCTGATTTTTTAAATTTGGAAGAGTGGATTTCTACATATGTCTATGATATCTAGACATATCCTAGAAATTGTCTTTGAGGAGAAGGATATTGAGATGTGCCCAAATGTAAGTAAAAGAATGTTTAAAAAAGGAGATGGAGGAGGGTAAGTAGAGGGCTCGAGTTTAGCTTTGGGAGGTGGTTTCACCATGACTAGTTGGGTTAAAGTAATTGAAAGCCATCCACATCTCCACAGAGAGTGTAGGGATGAAGGAAAATTGTGTGCAAAGCTGTCTTCCACCTGTCTTCTGAGAGCTAATCAGCAGCTACATCAGTTTTAGTTTTCCTCATTATTCAGGTAGAGCAAATGTGCATACCGCCCCCTAGTGACTGTCCTTGTAGAATACAAGTATACCAAAGTTCCTCAAGTAAAGGTGGTCCTAGAAAGTTCTGCCTTTTTAATTTCTTCTAAGGGAAGTCTTTAGTGAATTTGTATAGCCATCTGGACATACAGTTGCTTACCTCCTTTTATGTAAATAATCATCTCCTGATTTTTTAAATTTGGAAGAGTGGATTTCTACATATGTCTATGATGTCTGAAAACCAAATGCACCAATCCATTAAGCATCAAAAACAATTAAAAATAACTTCCTTGTTTATTCAAAGAGATATGTTTTATTAAAAAAGGTATGTTCTAACAAATACTTATTGATTGTCTACTATATTGATGTGCGGCAGGAACTGCATTAGGGCCTTGGGAAATTACCACAGTGAACGAAACAAAGAGGTCTCTGTAGTCATTGACATTACATTCTAATGGTGAGGAGAGGGAGCAGAAATAAACAATGAACAAGGTAATTTTAGATTGTGACAAATTCCAGGAAGGGAATTAACAGATGATTTGTGATATAAAGTAATCATGGAAGAGCCGAAGAAGTAACAGGGAACTGAAATCTGGTACCTTCTTTGGGAAGAGCCTGGGAGGAAGTATTTTAAGCAGAGGGAATAACAAATGAAAAGTCTCTAAAGTAGAAAGATTGGCCAATTTCTTGAACATAAAATAGGCCAGATTAGAGCATAGGGACAGAAGAAGAGATCAGCATGAGAGTGAGTGGTGAAGAATTAGGGGGAGGAGAGTTTGAATTTATTCTAAATGAAATGAGGCAAAAAGAGCTTTAAGTAGGGGAGGGACGTAATGTGATTATACAAAGAGGGCAGACTAGTTGAGAAACAGGGACAGCCTATCTGATACAATATAGTTTCAGGAATAAAGATCAAATCTACGTAAGAGTTGTCATTGCTGATATCGTGTTTATCATCTGCAGTACAGTCTCAGATGAGATTCAATTTACTCACCTTGAAAATGAGAGCAAAATATTTGATTCAAGATCTGCTTTCTATTCTGTTTCACTTCTAATTAGTGGAAGAAGAAAACCTTTATCCCAACAGAATCTTATTATTTATAACAACAGCACTACTAGCAAGAGATGATTGTGATTGCATTATGTGTTTACTTTCTCATTTGTCAGTGTAAGAACAATGTCTGGAGGTGACCTATTAAGAGAAAAAATAACTCTGAAATGACAACTATTATTGCCAGTTGTTAGTTTTTTTTAAAAAAGTATTTCAGTTTTGTTTGGGAAGAAAAAAATTAATTAACAAGAATTTAGTATTCTAGGATGGCAAGAGTTGGTGGAGGCAAGTAGAATGGGTGGTAGTGGCGGCGATGGAAGCAAATGAGTAATAATGATAGTAATTTTAACAATAATGATAATACTAATTATATATTTAACAAAGAATGTGAGTCTCACGTAAGGACTCAGAGATAGCAAGGAAAATAGAAAAATGTCCACTCTGACTCTAATGTTCTGTGTGTATCACTCCTGACCCCCATTTTGTTTTTCTTTTCAGATTCCCAATACCTAACTTGCCGAATGCAGAATTGCACAGAGGCTAACAGAAATAAACCTTTCCCGGGCTACATTGACCCAGACTCTTTGATTGTCCAGGATGATTACGTGTTTGTTCAGGTGTGAAAGATCTACTTCTGTTGATTGTCTTAAAGACATTTCTGTTCCCTATGTCTGTCCCTCTTGCAGCCCATTCTGCCTGCTTACAATCCCTTAAGAGTAAAAAAAAAAATAAGGGAATGGGGAGGAAAAAGGAAAGAAAGAAAGAAAAAAAAAGCATTATCTTTTCAACAAAAAGAACTGAATGTGGAAGCTTCTGTATCAGTGGAATATTAATGAGTTCTTTGGGCAGTGTCTGGAGGACCTTATCCACATAGAGTCTCAGAGGCAGTGCGGGAGTACTAAGGTTGTCTCCAGAATGACACACAGTTCCATTCATCCCCCTCATCTGCATTCTGAAGAAGCTGCAAGTTATCAACAGAACTGAGCAGGTCTGTCAGTCTCTTCCTAGCAGGAGAACAGTCAGCCAATCAGATCCCCTCCCCCACTCTACCCACCTGAAAAATAGAGAAACGGGGATGGGAAGGGGGAAGGTGGCTGGAGGCAGTAAAGGGGAGAGGTGAGGTGGAGAGTTATCAGCCGTTATTGTAATGCACGGTCTGTGATTGGGATAAAGAGAATTTAGAGGAGATGTATTCAGCCAGGTTTTTCACCTCCAAAGAGAGTGGGAAACAGCTTGAGAAGTTGAGGTTTCACACAGAGGTTAGAACAGAGAGGGAACAAGTCTGCTTTGCTCCTTTTCAGCACATAAGGAGAATTTTGAGACTTGTTTGGACAATGCACTTAAAAACTTCAGTTACTGCTTTTCAGGTTAAAAATGACGAAGGCACAACTGCTAAATAGCTGACACATATAACTTCACTACCATTGAGACGTTAGTATATTTATTTGGACAGGAAATCATGATTTAGAATATTTAATCTTATGCTTTGAGAAAGCAAATTTTCAAAATGCTCAACACCAGCCTATGTACTTTTCACATGATTCACAAGAGATTATACACACAAACACATACACATACATATACACTTACACACAAGCATATATATGTACATACACACACGCAAACATGTGTACACACATACACACGTATACACACATATACAGGTACACACACATGTTTACCCACGTAAGTACATGCATATACATGCACACATATATGTACACACATGAATATACATATACACACATGCCTATACATGTACACACATTTATACACATGCATGCACAAACAACATTTTATTTTTCTTCCAGGGAAATGAGTACTCTGATGAATTCAGAATCACATTATCAAGTGACATTGAAATGGTTACACCCCTTCTCATCCTTCATTCTACCCATTGGTATTCATTGGACTGTATGTCCTGGACAAAATGGGGGGTAGTAGCTCACAGTTGTCTTCAGGGAGACCCAGATCTAGCCTGACTATGGACTACAACCCTGACTTGGCTTTCTGTCTTAAGATGTCAGCCCTCCTGTCTGTGGGACATGCCCGCAGTCATCACCAAGACAACATAAAGCTGGAATTCGGTGCCCAGAGATTCGAGGCCCTAGTTCTGCCACTGTTCGACCTGGCCCGTTTCCCCCTGACATAGCATGAGGAACCTGTTCGTATGGCTGTAGACTCAGAGCTAGGTAGCTGGGATGCTGATGGCTATGAAGCCAATATGCCCTCAGACTTGTATCATTTTAAAGAAATAAACTGAAAATGTTTCCTGGCTTCTAAGCGACAATGCCAATTGAAGAATTGTATTTTTGTCCAGTGGGTTCAGGTTCAGTTTGGGCCTCTGACCAGCTCACATACACTGCATAACCTGTTTTGGAACTGAATGCCAGTTCTTTACACTTGTCCTCAATAGTTATTCACACTGTATGTCAGCTATCCTCTTCCATTCAGGTGGCTGTTCCATTGACATCTGTAACTGTTGCAGTAGCTCCTCTTATAACCTTTGTGTTTGTGATCCAGCTGACATCAGGAGGACGGCCACATTACTACGTGTCCTACCGAAGGAATGCGTTTGCCCACATGAAGCTGCCCAAATACGCTTTGCCCAAGGTATGGCCTGAATTGCATTCTTCATTTCAGCATTTCTTCTGATTCACAATCCCTGCCTCCACGCTGTTTCCGGAGGACCTTTTCAGTCTTTCATTGTCATTTGCTTCTTTTCATGTCCCATCTCTCTTTGCAAGTTCACTCTGTATTACTTTGTGTTTTTACCAGTCGTGTTTTATGTACTTTACCCTTCTTTCTCTCTTTGTCTCTCTCTCTGGAATTCTTGCTATAGGAACTTCAGAATAAATTGGTAATTGAGTTACTTTTGCTTTTTAACAGTGAAGATTTCAAGCAGCATGTCTTGATTTTCTATGAATATGGAATTTTTTTTCTGAATCAGTGCAACAAGTGTGATACATTACTGTCCCATTTTATTGTTATCAGTTGTTTTATTGGGAGGTGATGCAGTGAGATGGCTTCCAACCTTTGCTTTTCCTCTCAATGGAACTTATGAGGTTGGTTTTCTTTAGAGTTTTGAGGTCCATCGAATTTCGTAGATTTCCTCAAAGACATACCCCTTTGACAATATTGGCGGGGGAAGGTTAGAGACCCTCACCTGCTGACATCCATCCCCTGCCTATCTTTCCAGAAACACTGAAGAACTGTGTTAATATGGAGCGCCACCTAGTGGAAGTCAAGCTGACTTGGGAACTCAAACTGTTGATTTGTGGCCTTGCTGCCATTGATGTATTTTAAGTGGCCAGAGATTGTTAATTTATTGCTTTAGTCTGAGAGCAGGGGAGGTACGTATAGTTATAAGAAGAGGACTGTGAAGATTTAAATAGGATGATAGCTCCGCTTTGAGGCCTTCGGGTTGAGCAAAGAAGATGGAGATCCGTGTTTGAGTTTGCACGGCTCTTGCTCTTGTACTTTTCATTCACGACTTGGCAGTATGCTATCTTGGAGCTCGGCTGCTAACCAAAAGGTCAGCAGTTCGAATCCACCAGCTGCTCGTTGGAAACCCTATGGGGCAATTCTACTCTGTCTTATAAGATCACTGTGAGTTGGAATTGACTCCACGGCAGTGGGTTTTTTTTTTTTTTTAATTTGTCTTGGACCAACACCACCTAGCTGTGCTGGTAATCATGTGACAGGCACAACCCAAGGGGAGATCACTGTGGCTTCTCCAGGTAGAATTCTACTTCTTGGCCGCTGCTGTGCTCCTAACCTCAGCATAGTGAAAATTGGCTTAAACCTCAGCCCATTTGAGGAAAAACACACATTATTAACTCCAAAGAGTTATATCCGTGTTAGCAGTTATTATTATTTTCAGCTGAAAAGGATTTAATGAGAGTGGCAATTGTCCGGAGCCCTGGAGCACAGTAATTAAGAACTCGGCTGCTAACCAAAAGGTTGGCAGTTTGAATCCACCAGCAGCTCCTTGGAAACCCTATGGGGCAGTTCTACTCTGTCCTATAATGGCGCTGTGAGTTGGAATCGACTCCACAGCAACAGATTTGGTTTTTTTGGTGTTGGCAATTGTCCAGAACTGTATATCTGTATTTTTGTATGTTATTGTGCTTCTTTCACTTGATTTGGCTTAGCGTTTGCTGCAATAAGACAAGAATTTATGACATTTGAGTTGTGTCTTAGATGAGAATCGGATGAAGTCAGTGTGTGAAAGGAAAATAGAGTGTTGTCAGAATTACCTTTGATAATCTCTTAGGAATATCCATAAGGAGATGAAAATAACCTCAGTATGTGCAACAGAGCTGTTTTTTCTTGCTCATTGGAATAAATTGCTGTTCCTTTGATTGACCAACAATGAACTACCCTGGCTTACAAGATTTATAACTTTAAAAACAAGACTTATATTTAATACACTGAGATGATCCTGTTCAAAAGGCATGTGGGAATTGAGACCAAATCAGAAAACAGCAGAGTAGAGTCACCCATCTCATGCTCACCCTTGGGGAATATGCTCTTTGAGTGGAATAAATAATGGCCACAACTATATGCTATTTGCAGAAGAATTGGGGCTAGAACTGAAGCCTTCTGACTCCCAAGTTGATGTCCTATATATTACACTTTTCTTCCATGAAAGTAAATTAGCAATTTCTATTTTTAAAACAAAACATCCCCCCACCCCCGCCAAAAAAAAAAAAAAAAAAGATATACTATCAGGGGCATCAAGAGAAAAAGTCTCATTAACCTAAGGAGCTCCAGAAATGATAGCTTAAAATCAAAGGAATATTTGTGGACCCATTACTGCCGTATTAGGAAACAGATACTTTGCATTGCTTGTTCATAGCCATCCCACGGATCACTGCTGACAGTTGCCCCCAGTGACAACTGGTCAATCTGGAAGGAAATTTTACTTTGAACCAGAATTGGCTCCCCCGACCACACCGCCCCATGCTCCCACAGGAGCATATTCCATTACTCGGCTTCATTTGAGGTCTGAGGATAGAACACAGTGATTAATTTAGCTTGTTCCCAGAAAAATAGGAGTCAGTACAGCAAATGAATATATTATTTGGTCCAAGTGGGTGTTTACTATTGAAGGCAATGAGATGCTTCATTACAACCCCATTGTACCTTCAAAGAGAAGCCCCAGCTTGGCTGGAGTGATCTGCAGCAAAAGTGCATATATTTCATGGCCTTCTATCAAAGCCAGGGCTGCTGGGACTGGAAATGAACAAAGCTTCACACCAACCAAACGAGCTGAGACAAACCAGCACTTTTATGCTCAAATTTTCTTTAATCATCCACTGCCATTGTATGAGCTCTTGAAAGACCATGGTTACCCTGAGCTCTGTCAAAAAAAAAAAACAATAAAAGGAAAGAAATTTAATAATAATGTTAAGGAATGACCAGAGAAGGGGTTGGAGAGGTTTTAATGTCACTGTTGCTGTTAAGAGCATGTGGCCGTCCAGATAGGGAGACACAGTGACAGCCTTCCTTCCCTTAACTTACTTGGAGCTCATTCAGAGCTACTCAAGTAAGATAAATGAGGCAATACATATGAAAGTGCTTTGAGCATTTTGGAGGACAGATACTCTATAAAAGCAAGGTAATATTATTATTAGTATGGATCTAGTTGTCTCCGTGGTAGATGATCGATGTGGGCCGGGAAGCGGGTGGCATGAAGGCTGCTGATACGCCGCAGGAGACCAACAGTCCAGGCCTGGATCTGTCCCTAACTTGGTTTGAAACCTAGGGCTGGTTTATCAATTTCTCTTTTCCTTTTTTTTTCTTCAATCTTCTAAATGAGAAGTTTAGATTCACAACATTTCCTCAAATGTGTTACTCATGGTAAGATATCACTCAAGATGCTTCATCAAAATTGGGATCAAATAAATTGAAGAAAAAGCAGCAGATAAAATTCCGTTCTGTGGTCCTTGTCTAGAGAGTGACAATGCTCACTGGCATGTTAAAGTCACCAGGAAGTTCTGAGAGCGAGAAAGCGGTTTAATTCAGCATGAATCAAAACATTTTACCAAATAATTATTCTTTCATCTATTAAAATCCAACAATGCTGGTGCCCTACAGAACAGACTTTGGGAAGCACTTCGGTAGAAGATCTGTAAGGTGGCTTCTTAGTCTAAAATTCTGTGACTCCATGAAAATATTTAGCATAAAGTGCCACTTTGGGAGAAAGAGCAAATTTTCCTGATAGAGGAAGATGAAAGTTACAAAAAGAAAAAACAAAGATGGTATTTAAATATGTCAAGCCTTTCATTCATGAAAATATTGTAAACCAACATCATTTTAAAGAATGTCCTGTCAGTGTAACTAGATTATATGGAGAGAAAGAGAGACCTAATCTTGGTACATATCTAGGAACGGTTGTTTTCATTTGTTATGGTTATGCGGGTAGTTCTCTAAGTGACCTAGAGCAAGACACTTGATGGGTCTGTGGTTTCAGTTCTGCATCCACAAAATAGAGGTTTGAGTGAAATGGGATGGTACAAGTGATGGACTTTAGCCCCCTAAACCCCAAAGAACACCAAACCCATTGCCATTGAGTCGATTCCGACTCATAATGACCCTATAGGACAGAGTAGAACTGCACCATAGGGGTTCCAAGGAGCGGCTGGTGGATTCAAACTTTCAAACGGCCTACCTTTTGGTTAGCAGCCGAGCTCTTAACTACTGTGCAACCAGGACTCCTTAGCCCTCTAGGATCATTTAATGAAATGTCTATTGTGGAGAACTCAGAGGTTCATCAGTGTACAAATCCACTCCAAAGGCACAGAAATGGGAACTGGCTATGGGGGGAGGTCTGGTTAGTAGTGAGATATTTTAACTTGAACTCAGAAAGCATACTATATCCTGCTGACAAGAAGGAAACATAAATTGGGGCCAGTTGTTTGGCAAATCTAAATGCCAGGGTCAGGATCTTGGTCTTTGTCCTATAGGAAATGGGGAGCCATGGAAGGTTGTGTTCCTTAATGTTCAATGATCTTGGTCTAATTTCCACAGCTAATGTTCTCCATTAGAAAGAAGCAAAACACTGAAATGAACCACCCTTTTTTCCTGAGTGTGTTAGTTAGGATTCCAACAGGTATAAGAGGCAGAAAGGCCAAATCACTGTGCTTTAATAACAGGGAATTTAGGGGCTCGCTTAACAGCTATCATGCATAGAACACATGCTAAGTGCCAGGTATTATTTTAAGTGCTTAACACTTATTAACTGATAGGATCCTCACAACTCCATGGGGTGCGTACTGTTGTATCTTTTTTGCAAGTGGAAATTCTGAGGGACAGTGTTAAGTTCACACAGCTATGTTAGAGTCAGAATTTGAACTGGGATATTACTTCAAAGTCCATTTCTTAACCGTTTTACTAGAAGTCCTCTCTAACTGAAAAGTTCAGAAGCAGGACTTCTTCTAGGATGTCCACATCCAAGGGCTTAAACAATGTTGGAGGATTTGGCCTCTCTCTCTCCATCTCTCGACCCTATTTTATTCAGAATTGGCTTCATTCTCTGGCCCCAAGATATGTCTATAGCAAATCTGGACGTTTTTATTTATATGCTTGCAAACTCAATGGTAAGAGATTTCTTTCCCCCTCTAATAATTCAATAGACGTTCTAGAATTGTATCTTATTGCTTGGGTCACATGCCCATCTCTGATTCAATCACTGTCATCAGGGAAATGGAATTTTCTGAATGCTAGGTCTGGGGTACAAGCCCATCTCTGGTGCTTGGAATGGAAGATAGTTGAGAAGAGGGAGGAAATTGGTCTGAGAGTAGGGATGAGGTTGTTTTTCAAAGAATGCCAAACTCTAATTACCAGAAGAAAAGTAAGTAGACATTGGGCTGACATAAACGATAGCCAACTTGTATGCCAAACCTTTGTTTGCATAATGGACCACTTTGAATTTATGGACCAGACTCATTTTTTGGCTTCCTATTACTGTATTCTTTCTGCAAAACATTACCAACTTCTAGAGTATGTCATGTGATGGCCAAGGAGGGTACAGGAATATGAAGCCCTTTGGATTAGGACTTGTTTTTTCAGGGTTCATATGACTTCACAAGGCTAGAGAAGGGATAGTCTTGTTCTTACATGTCTAGAGCAGAGTTGGGCTGAATTGCTGATTGATTGATTGACAGAGCATAGACATACATTACAGTGAGAAATTTCAGTTAGACGTTAGGTAAAATTTTCCAGCACTAAGACTGCTATTTAGAAAGTTTGACCAACCGAGAAAAGAAAAACTTGGAGAGGAAGCAGATAACCCGTGTAAGAAATGAGATGGGTGCTATCACAATAGACCCAACTGAAATTAAAAGAATCATAACAGATTACTATGAAAAATTGTACTCTGACAAATTTGAAAACC